GGAGGTTTGCACCTCAATCCATCTCATACGTCTACAGCTTCATGGAGGTCTGCAGCTCAGCATCCATCTGCTGCTCCGCCTCCATCTGCATATATGTATCTATTTGCGACTAAAGGTTGCATATCTGCAGCAGCCGAAGTTATGACTTTGACAACACACCTGGCTGCATCTGTCATTGTCATACCCATCAGCTGTGGTTTCACAGCTGTCAGCAAAGCTGCTGGCAAGAGGTCTTGTTTCTGTTTCTTACTTGGCAGCTTTTCCAGCCAATGTAGGAGTCTACTGGTTGGATATTGTTCAACTAGGACAATCTGTTTTCAATTTATCGTCAACACGGATAATTCAGATCATGATGTTTGGACACTGTCTGGGGAAATAGCTTCATCAAATCCATCCTGTTATAGAGCCTCAGATCTCCGGCTGATAAAATGTTTTAGTTTGACACTTGTGTGTTTGAGTTTGTTGGTTAAATGTCTGCTGGATAAATCTGACATAAAGAATGTTTCTGTGTTTGTAAAGATGTAATAAATATTACTGTCATAAACTGATTTGGTCTCTGATTTATAGAGATAAGAACCAAATTCTTTGCTTGATCAGTGACACTGAGGCTGCTCAGTTTTTAATTTCCTCTGACATCTTAGTCTGAATCTGTCTTCATAGAGAAACATGATACAGTCAGTCAATCAGTGATACTTATGATGAGGGGTTTAGTGATCAGGGCACAGCATGAGTCAGTTTAGTAAATAAATTTCAATATAACATTGACTTTCAGATTTTTTCCGAGCATTTTATACATCTAATTATTTATAGAAGAAATTGAACACAACAGTATTTTTCTGCAATTCTATAACAAAATATTTCCCCATTTACTGATCTATGCTATTTCATGATTTTTTATCACACTTTAATTTTTACTATATACCCAATACATTTATTATAATAGATAAAGAAAATCTAGTTTATGCCACAAAATATCAATTGGATTCAAATCCAGACATTATCTAAACCAACCTGGACTTTCATTTTTTCTTGAGCAATTCCTTATTGACTTTCTGTTAGAGAAACACTGTCTCTAAGATTTTCCTAAACTGAAAGGATGTTTGTTTATGTACATTGAAAATGGACACATGGCTTGGCAAACGGTTACACTGTTTTCCACAACAGTTAATGATGTTTTAGTTTATTTAGCCACATCCATCGAAGTATTTTAAGTCATTTTCTTTGTTGTGAGACACATAGATAATGAGTAGAAACAAACCAAATCTTATTATTGAGTTCAGTGTCTACCTGAATGATGGTTTAATCCTTACAATCTGTACCCATCTAAGAACTCATTCACCAAGTGAAACATGATATGCAGATTAATTCCACAGATTGGATGATTCTGGTGATTTTCAGCCTTTTTCCTGCTTAAATACGATGATTTTCTGCACAGAGATGATGAAAACGCAGCATTTAACAACATTTTATTAGACAAATATAAAGAACCCAATAAACATAGAGTTAAGGAGGCATATTTTCAATTCCCACCTAAAGTTTTTTGAAGTGTATTTCAAATCTGACAAATATTATAATATTAAAAAATAATTACATATGATTATATGGCTCGATTAACAATATATTGAAAATATCATTGCTGCAGTATTACTTTAAGCAATCTTGATATCCCATGATAAAAATCTGGAGATGGGAAAAGGCTAAATAGGCTTTTTGTAGGTCTACAAATAATAAAATACAATTTCCACATTTTAAAAACTCAGTTTACATTCGTGTTTTTTTGTTTCATATCCTTTTTTAAGTTACTATTCAACGTAAACTATTAATTTAATACAATTATTGTACTAATTATTAATAATTAAACTATCAGAAACATTTTGTTCCGCTTTTAATTTGATGCATTTGAGACCCTCTGCTTTCTCTGTGAACATGAGAATCTGCATTTTATGTCTTTACTTATATGAACAGCAAAGTGAAGCTGCTTTTCTTCATCTTTTATATATGTTTTTATATTTTGAAAACGTTCTTCTGGCCAGTTTTCATTCACACTGTTGTGTTTAATTCACTACAAACACCTGGCAACTGCATCATGAGAACTGTCGCCTCTCTATAATCCCCGAGCGGTTAGTGAACGCAGCACAGAGCTCCACTTCCTGTCAGCAGGAAGTTTCCCGTCATCACCGACCCAGAGTGTTTTTATAACTCTGCATCAGCCGGACTGAGAACCGCTCGGACGCTGCCCTGAAGCTGTGAGTGTTTGTGGTTTGTTTAGACTTGTTTACACACTATTTGGTTGTTGTTTGTTTACCAAACATGGACAGTTCCGGTGCTAAGAAGCAGCTGCAGCAGTTGCTGCTTGGTGTTTTATGGGCGTCCTCAAAGAAATCAGTGCACTATAACCCGGTCAGAGTCGCTGTTACTCCCGATCAGCTGAGATCAGAGCTCACTTATCTGTCAGACTCAGCTGGATTAATGGCAGCACCCGCCTGACGTCACAGAGCCGCGTCACTCTAACTGTTGGCCGTCAAACTGTAGTTTCCTAAATGACTTCCGGTTCTCTCTGCAGACCGAAGGTCAGGAAGATCAGATCTGAGTCCTGTGAAGTTTCCTCTGATTTCCCTGGCAGGTTTTGGTTCTATAACAGAACCATTCGCATGAGGAGTCCCCTGAGATATGGGAGGGGATCAGGATCAGGGGAAGATTTACCATTTGGCAATACTGGGCAGTTACCAAGGGCCCCAAGCTCCTGGGGGCCCCATAAAACTCTGTTTACATGAATGGTTAATACAACTTTTCCCTATTAGTGTGCATTATTTATATTTTTGATAAAAATCAGAACCTGCACAGGGACCCTAATTGCATTTTTACTTTATTCTTTTTTTTGCCCTATGACTGTGTCACATAAATAAACTCATTCTGAGTCAGCGATGGAAATTTCTGATCATGCAAAGAAATTCCAATTTTATTTTGTAGAGATATTATCAACGACTGTAAACAAACATGATTAATGTAGCTGATTAATATAACAAAAAAGCTGATTAATAAGTTAAACATGAATTTGATTAGATGCTTCAGTTTCAGTTAAAGTTATTGATCAGAATAACGCCTTGATATTTATATATATATACATATATATATAT